ATCTATTGATCAGACAAGCTAACTTTTGTATCAACGCGTTGATGATTAAACATTTAATTAATTTCATTATTTATTTGACCACCAATCATTTTATTTGTGGTTTTGAGGTAATGCGGGACGGAAGACAGATTCATTACTTTATCTTGATCTCTTGTCTGGACTGGGAGATTCATCATTTTAGAGGTATTAATGCTTCACTAAATCCACTTGAAGCGACAAACTCTTAGGCGAAATTGTAGGAAACAGAAACACAGAATGATGTGAATGGGTAAATGGGCTGTATGAAGTGGAGTTAAGAGAAAGAGATGCAGCTCTAGGAGGTAGGATAAGGACTAGGAGCTAGGAGTGATGCAAAAACGGTTGAACAGGAAATTGGTCAAGTGGATTGCCTTTACTTGTCACTGTTAAGTTGTGACTGCTAATTACGGCGCCTCAAGTCCAGGAGTGCATTAAGTCTGATACTGGAAATCATCATGAATACTATGACAGAGTACGAAGAATTAGATAAGTTCCGCAAAGTCTCCATGTCTCTCCGTCCAATTAGCGAAAAAGAAGTCAAGCCAACACTATGCAGTTAAATGAGACTGCGACCAGACCAAGGGCCACATCATCTTGGTCCTCATATTTTCACAACTAATGTTGTTGTTAACTACTTAATTAATGATTTTTTAACTTTACATACAATGAATATAGGTGTCACCCAAACTGACTGCCAAAATCTTCATCGCTATTTCCTTATGTCTCTCTTTTATTTTGGAATTTTAACCTCTGGGATCTATACTCATTGTAGATAAACTTTCTTAAAGGTAAATACAACCATAGGTTTTATGGTTATATTAAAATAATCAAATTCGTCTGTCATTTTTCGATTAATTACTTATTTCAATTTTTGTTGAAATGACTAGCTTCTTCTCAATTATTGAATGTTTCCTTCTTTCAGTTGCTTGCCATATCTTTGATTATTTACTGGTTTATTCTATTCCACGGCACATCGGGTTTACAACTTTCTGGATGTTAGAAATCTCTTTTAAATTAGAGATTTTTATGCATCAATGTTTTTATTATTTCCATTTGTTGAATGCAAGAGAATATTTCATGCGGATATTGTTTATATTTTGGTTATTATGGTGCTATATATGATGTTCACATAAATGTTCACGTCGTGCTAATGAACGGGTCTACCACCATCATCTATTTCATCTCCGCTTTATTAATGACCTTTACCTAGGGGTCCCTAACTAGGATCGTTGCACAGGCCCTTTATGTAAAGACTATTTAATATGAACTATGAAATATATCAGGCTATCTCAGCGCTCCTTCATGCTTTTGTGATCGTGTCTGTTTGCTTTCTATGACTGCTCATGTGTTTTAACTGCAACTACCTGATTCTTCAGCTGATCTGGCCAGTCTCATCAAATCACTGCGTATCGATCAGCCGTTGGTAGACAACATCACTCTTTTTAAAAGGCCTGGAGACTCCGTTCAGCTCTTTTGTCTTTCTCCCATATACGATCCGATTTTCCACCTTTCGAAAGAATCGGAAAATTCGTTCGTTATACAGGGCGTTAGCCTCAACCCTGAGACCAAGGTCCTCCTCGAGATGGCACTCGCGTTGGGTGCTCTTGAAGCAGTATGGTTCAAAAATGGCATCCGCCTTGACATACCACGGGCATTTAAATCTGACCAATCCTATTTTTTTGGCTCCGGTAACGAGGCTGTCAATGACATCTATAAGAGTGATGGGCGTGGTAGTAATGCAAAATTCGAGAATGCCGATGAAGATGAGACCCATTTTGGTGCTAATAGGCTTTATAGCGCCCCAATACTCAATTTGACTACGATCGGATCGCGGGATGTCGGTCTTTACGAGTGCCAGATCACCGCAATCTTGGATGGAAGTCTTTTTCAATCTGAGTTTACTTCCTCCGCCTCCCCATCCTTACATTTTGATGAGACAGGGCTTGAGCGAGGCCTTATATTCGTACGTCGAATCTATTTACGTCTGGTCCAAAATCAGTCAAAACCGGAATTAATGCATCAAAGCACAGCTCTGCGGGCGACAATTATCAAGACCAAGCCGCTGATTATCGATATCGCGACGGCGAAGAATTCTCCAGGTTCGTTTTTCTTTACATTTTTATGTTGTTTCCGTCAACCGGTGTGCATGCGTGATTATGCGTACGCTTCCGCAATTATCCTATTTGTTTTTGGCTAATTGTGTTGTTCACAATTATTTTTCTACTTTTATCTTAGTAAAATTCTGATTATCCGTTTCTGGACATCTATCTTCGTGCGTATGTGAATTTAGTTTTTAGCGTGCTACTTTTCGGATT